CTGCACCACAAACCTGGAAGTCGCCAAGAGAACCTAGCTTGGCAGTTTTTGGAGTGAGACAATCCTTATTAATAAGTGGAGAGTACGTGTCATAATCCACTAACCTATAGGAGAAGGGTACCCATACATTTCTTAGGGTACAGAAGTAAGATTTGGGTATAATAGGTTGGGCCTGAATTACATAGTGTCAGGATCCTATAAAATACCATGTAAGGATATCTTAGAGAGCTTTTTTCTTTTCTTTGTTCTCCTATGTTCTATAGACTATCTTTTTATCTACCCATCATTCTATCTTCCATCATGCTATCAGCTCAGCGTGTGTAGTACAGTATAATTACTCAGCATTCCTAACTATTGGGGAAGCCAGAACCATTGTGTTATCGGGCATGTCAGGAGTAAGGCTGGTCCTTCACCTCCTATTACCTGTTCCTCAAGGAAGGGAGTGGTATGTTAGGTTAAGGTATTTATAATAGGAATGTTACCACCAGGAGTTGTGGAATTCTTTTACTGTTTTGCAGTCAAAAGTTTCATAGCATTTATTATTCTTTTGTTAATCTCAATAAAGCTTTTATCCATTTGGTGTTGTCCTCAGTGTAAGTGTTTTTGCCAAGCGCCCCGAGAGTCCTCTCCTGATATAGAACTCTGAGTTCTCGGACCCTGTAGTCTGAATTGGACAAGAACCTATAAATCTTCTGGTCGGATGCGATCAGTGGCAAGCCATAACAGCTAACCCATAAAATTCAGGTCAACACTGCAAACTCTGTGGGGGCAGTTCTGTGAAGCTCTAGGCTTATCTATAAGTGACTAATAATAGTGTAGGAATGGTTTCCTTTGGGGCTGCATATTCGTGCTCCCATCTAGCCTCCACTGAGCAGCAATTTTGCTTGCTTTCAGCTAGAAGTACTTGCTCTATGTTTTCACTAAAAGAACAGGAGTACTTGTGGCACCTTAGAGACTAACAAATTTATTTGAGCATAAGCTTTCGTGGGCTACAGCCCACTTCTAGCCCACGAAAGCTTATGCTCTAATAAATTTGTTAGTCTCTAAAGTGCCACAAGTCCTCCTGTTCTTTTTGCGGATACAGACTAACACAGCTGCTACTATGAAACCTATGTTTTCACTGTTTTTTCCAAACCAGTGAATGTAGCAAAATAACCCATTTGCAGCAGCTATTTCCAAATGCACAGCATTTCTCATTTGCTCTGCCCTGCCTCCCCGGGGCTCCCCCTACCCCTTCACTGACAAAGACACTCAATGTTGCTGGCGCTTTCCATCTCCCTTACCTGTCCTGAGAGACGGCTCTGCTGGGGGGTATTTGCTGCGCAGCTCCAGTGCTTTAGCCCCTCTCCAAACACGCCATGTGCTGTGGAGTGATTGTCCTGGTGACTCTTCCCCCTTTCAGCTCATATGCATCCAACAAGTCACATAACCTGATGGAGGAAGCGGTGCTAGGACATGAGTTGTTTCCTCCTATTGTCTGCAGGGAGAAAGGATACAGATGAGCTGGAGAAAGTAAAGGCAGCAAAAAAAATAAAAACAAATAAAAAAAATACAGCCACAAAGTCTGGAACCCAGCATGCATCAGTGTTTGAAACACCTGAGCCTGTCCAGCCCTCCTTCAGGCCCTTTGTCCCCCTCCGCATTAGGAAATGAGCCAGGTTTGAAAACCATTTTCAAGTGAAAACCAAGGTGCTGGTCCCTGTCTATAAAGCCTGAAATGGCCACACCCCAGTACGCACAGAGCTCCTGTGATGTCCCACCAAGTCCAGAAGTTTTGGCTTTTTGTCCATAGCGTGAAACTTGTGGGCATTGGGGAGCAGAGAAGCATGAAACTTGTGGGCACTGGGGAGCAGAGAAGTGTCAATAGCAACTCCTTGCCTCTGGCGTTTTCTTCCGCTGGGAATACGTCTGAGTTTGTTGAGGCTTTGCATGAAATGCAGTTTCTGAAATCTCCAGTCATTGGCTGGCTCATGGCAGCTTCACAAACTGATACCTTCCCCTGGAGGTTACATCATGTGCTCTAGAACCTAAGCTTAAAAAGTGAAATCAGACTGGATATGAACTGAGGCAGCAATGTCTTCCTGACATCAGGCCTGAGAGAAATATCAGCTGCCTCAATCATCTCAATATGATGTACACTCTGAAGCCTAATGATGATCATTTGAACGTCAACAGTGTTGTTAACAATTTCATATCAGAGGCAAGAGAATCACATTATGAAGGTTTGTGCAATCTCCTGCAAATGGCATCTCAGTTTGGTATCACAGGTGGACAGAGGTTGGGTTGTAGATGGAGCTTATTTTTTGCAGTCTGACATCTGTTTAGCTGACTGGCTTGGTTTGCTCCCTGTTTGATACTGCCAAACAGATGCTTTCCTTTCTGGAACTGTATTTGTGATGGTACATCTACCTGGTGAAGTGCACACAGATGATATGACTGTGCTGATGTCAGCGTCTGCAATAATTCAGGCAGGAAATTACTTGGATTCACATCTTGTGGAATCTGGTGTCTCTAGGCAGTTGTGGTGACGGGGCTGGAGAACAGGCAGCCACTGGGTCCCTTAATACGGTTTGTATCATGGAATTGTCCTGAAGCAAACTTTCAAAAAGGTGACAGCCCGATTTGATCCCTGTCCTACAAGAAATTAACCTGAGCCCTCCACACACAAGGGCCCTTGAACAACCACAGGAAAACAGCAAGTTTGGGGCTCTACTGACCTGTGGCTGGCTCAGAACTGGAGACCGAGCGGTAAATGGTTATTCTATCCCCCCCAAAAGCTGGCTTTAAGCGGCTGAGCAATCGCAAGGCATCCCTGCCCCCCACTCTCAAAGGAGGGATTAATCCAGCTTTAACCCGGCCATGTTTCCTTTTCAAAGCAAAGGGTCCGATCCTGCAACAGCCGCATTCACACAAGGCGTCCTAGCGAAGCCAAAGGGGCGGCTTGCTGAGTGAGGGCTACTCCCTTAGGGCAGAGGGGCAGGTAGGCTGGGGCATTTGTCACTTAGAAGGACGCAGGCCTAACATTTACCGCAAGCCAGCCCCATTCTACTTGGATCAAAGAGCAGCAGCATCGTCAGGCTTCTGCGGCCACCCAACCCACACAAAGAAGCCAGTGTCATTGGGAGAGCGAGGAGGGGCAGGCCCTCCAAGGCTGAGGTCTGTGAGGAGGACAGAAAAAGCCAGAGTCTTGTGTGTCTCCTCCCTACACAGAAATCCTCCTCCCTTCACCCCACTCCCCGCTGTGCGCACAGGAAGGAGAGACTCCACTGCACAGTGGAAAATTCCACCCTCCTCTCCCCAGCGCATACAACGTTTACATTCAAAACAAGTCGCCTGTGTTTCTCTTTCCTGTGTCCCGCTGCCCAGCCTCCGCCCCTCTCCCTCTGCAACGCGGCTTCTTCTTGTTAAATTCAAACAGGAGCAGAGTTTTAGCTGAGCCATTCCGTGCACTGGTTCAAGGACAATCCTTTCCCAAAGATCTCTCAGATGGAGTCTGGCTCAGCAAGACAAGTAAACTCCGTACCCAGCCACAAACCAGCATGATCCAACATCTGAGCAACCCTACAATAACAATACAACGTGCACAGTCCAAATCTCTCGGGCAATCAGGCACTAAACATTGAGCCCGCTCCTGCGGATCTTACACAAACAGCCACATCTGAGTCAGTGGGACCACTCAGGTGAGGAAGACATGCAACAATGGGGCCCCCTAGCTGGTCCAGCTTGTGACCGAGCCCCCAACCCTGCCCTCACTGGGCCCAGATGGGAGCAGTATCAGGCCCTGAGATAGTGGCATTGCCGCCTTCTGAGCCGCAGGCAGGAAGGTCTGCGTTTCCGGAGCCAAGAGTTTATCGCAGATGTTGTCTAGCTGACGATCACAATGCCCGGCTCTGCACGCTGTGGTCACCTGAACGTTTTAATGATCCCTACAGAGCAGTACTTTGCGCTCCTGTCAGAAAGACGGCCCCCTTTCAGGTGACCACAGCTACGTTTGCCATCCTCACTCTCCTTACAATGCTAGTGGGGCACATTGAGCAAGGAGCCTACCCAGAGAGTTGAAGCATCTCCCCTCCAGCAAGTCCTCACTCGTACAAGCCTAGGAACCAGAGTCCGTCCGAGTAGACCCAGTGCTGACGTTCATTCAGACAGATTAGGGTGCAGCACCAGAAGTAGACCCCTGATCCTGCAAATAGATGCACTAGCCCTGCCTCTCAACGTGGGATTCCATTGACTCTGGGGACTCCTGCACCCACACAGAATCCCACTGATGTCAATGTGATGCCATAACGGCACAGGGGTACATGCTAATGCATCCGTTAAGGAGGAGCCGGGACCTAAATAGCTGAGACATTTGTGAGTGAGAAATCAGCATTTTCCTTTATGAAAATTACATTTCAACCTTTCTCTGAAAAAGGCTTAAATGCAAATTCCCCTCCACCTGAATAATCCAGGGCATTGTACCTGACTGGCAGGAGTCTGAGCATCACAATGGGGTGACAGCTAAAACTCTCTGCAAACTAATGACCTGTTCCCGAGTAGGATGACCAGAGAAGCAAGTGTGAAAAATCGGGATGGGGTTGGGGGATAATAGGAGCCTATATAAGAAAAAGCCCCCAAAATCGGGACTGTCCCTATAAAATCGGGACATCTGGTCACCCTAGTTCCCGAGAGGTGCAGAGAACAAGCAACTCCCACTGGAATCAAAGAATATCAGTTTCTCAGCAAGTCACTGGATCAGGGCCCTGGAAGATTTAAAAGAAAAAAAAAAGATGGCAGGGTTATGTTCCTAAGCTCTTGCTGACTGTGGGTCCTCACACAGATTTCATAGGCGACACCACCACTGCCAGAGAAGCTAAAACTCCAGTCGTGAAAGAAAGCACTGGTGCAAAACTACCCATCCATCCTCCCAACTCTTTCTGCAAAGCGAAAACACCACACACATGCACACAGAGACACAGGCACTTCCTTTAATAAAACAAATGAATGCAGCATTAGGGTTAGGTTTTAAATGCACAACAGTCAGGACATTCAGAAACCTGTTTCCTACATCAACTGTCACTCAGCACATACCAGTAATTTATATTACTGTAGACTTAAAAGAAAGCATTATGTATATAAGAAAGCATTAAGTCTATAGTAATACAAATATATAAATGTGCACAAAATGGCTAAATTAGTTATAGTGGAAGCTGCTAATGTTTAATCTATGAGCATTTCAGAGGTAAAGCCTCATGCTGGATTAGAGAGAAGTAGGTTTTTATTTATTTTAATGTCATGTCTATATTTTAGATTACAGATCATTTGTCTACACACACGTATACACAGAGAGAGGAGAGGAGGGGCATGGGGGAAGGGAGTCAGTCTAGTTCTAACACAGATATTATTTTTAATGGCATTGTGACATTCAAGACAAGGGGGTTAAATTCCTCAGCCCTTCCTCTACCAAAGGCTTTCTCAGCAAGTAGGGAGGGATGCATCGGATTAGTTGCTGCTCTCCCAAAGGCTGCGCTTCACTTCACTTCTGCTTTCCCCTGCCGGCTGTGTGTGAGCATGAGCCAGGCTGGGAAAGCAACACAAAGCTCCGTTCAGCCCTCATTTCTGTGAGTAAAGGAAACCACACACACCCAGTCCCACCAGGAGAATTCACAGGACTCTGGAAGCTGCTGGGTGAAAGGATTTCAGTCCCTTTGGCTTTGCCATTCCCATCTTCACTGTCCTCGGTTTCGCGTCACCCTAGTCGTGCTTTCCTGGGGCAGGATCTGCCTTGTGCAAACAGGAGGAAGCAGCTGGGTAAGTTGTTGGGGGCTTGGACAGGGGGATGATGAGGCTGGGTTGCAGCCTCTCACTGCTGTGACAGCAGCGACTTTCACATACTAAGCCAAAATGATTTCAAGGATCTTAATGCGGCTCCTAGTACTGGAGGTTTGTCCACACCGCACAAGCAGTATGCTGAGCGCTCCCTGCTCAGGAGAGACTTGGCATTCAGTGTCCAGGAAGGCTGCAGGTCAGGACTGAGCTGTACTGGCAGAGCCCAGGACTGGGATAAGCCAGGGGTGCAGTAAAGGGGGATCGCAATCCATGTGTGTGTGTGAGTGGGGTCTGGGATGGGTGCCGTTGGTCAGCACTGAGGTGAGCCAGCAGGGCTGTGTGGGGCCCAGGGCTGGGATAGCTGGGGCTGTTGCAGGGGGGCTGGCAGGGGCAGTGCATGTGGGGCCCAGGGCAGGGGATGCCACAGGCCAGGAGTGAGGCGCACTAGCAGAGGAGTGAGTGGGACCCCCAGGCGTGGAATAGCCGGGGGTGCTGGAGGACAGGCTCAGCAGCGCTGTTTGTGGGGGCACAGGATTGCCACAGAAGGGAAATGCATTAACAGAACAGTGGCTGGAAAGCCGGCACTGACCCGGCTCAGGAGACTCACCGTCGTGGGCCCTGTCTACGCTCGGCTCAGCTCAGCTCCATTGGGGTTTGCAAGGGTGGGAGCCCTACTGCAGACAGAGCTGTGAACGCTGACATTTGCTATTCGCCCCCCTCCCCTGGAGATCACCCCCCCCTTCCCCCAGCTCTGGACTCTCCCACATACATTTTTGCCACTCCACTGACCCTTCAAAACGCCTTTGCTAATGCTGCCCATTTTGCTTCTAGCCACATTCTTAGCTTACACTAATAGGCTAAAACAGCAGCTCGAAGGCCCCGGCCCAGGGCGTGCCACATCCCCAGCGCTCAGAGCGGATTCACTGCCTCACAAAGCCTTGGCTGCTTCCTGCCCTGTGTAACCCCCGGCAGGACGGACGGGCCTGTGGGCAGGCTCAGGGTCGGGAGTAAGGCCCCTGGGTTCTTGGGCTGCTCTGCCACTGACTCTGTGACCTCAGGCAAGTCATTTAATCTTCCCAGGCCTTACTTCTTATCCCTCCAAGGTCTCTAGAGGCCTCTTCCTGGCTTTATCTCAAGCCTATCCTCCATCCTCATCCTCCTTGACCTTTCTGCTGCCATTGACCTGTGACTCTCACCTTGCTTGGTTCTCCTGCATCGCTGATGGCTCTTCCCCCCTCCTTTCCCACTTCTCTATGGACACTCCCTAGCGCTCCATCTTGTGTCCTCTCCTCTTCTCCTTCTCTATCCCATCATTGGGTGACCTCATCTCTTCGCAGAGGTTTAGCTGTCACCTGTGTGCTGATGACTTTCAGATACAGTTTTCTGCCATGGACCGCTCTCTCACTGATTCTCCAACAGCTCCTCTTGGGCAGTTCACTGTAAACTCCATTTCAGCATGGCCAAAAACAAGCTTACAGTCTCCCCTACCAAACATCTTCACTGACTTTGTTCTGGGTTACAGCTGACCAGACCATCATCTCTCGCATCATCCTGGCCCATAACCTGGCGGACATCTGTGGCTCCTGTCTCTCCTTCTCCCCACATATCCAGGCCATTACTTATTCCCGTCACTCATTCCGTCACAATATTTCAAATAAACCACACTTTCCTTTCTGCCCTGAGGATCAGGTCGCTTGTCTTCATCCCTCTTCAGTCAACCAGCCTTAACCACCTCTGATCCATCTGTAAATTCTGCTGCCAAAACCACCTCTCTCTCACTAATTGCTCCAACCACATCAACTCCCACTGAGTCACTTCACTGGCTCCGCACCCTCCTGAACAACAAATACAACCTTTTTGTCTTTGCTCCTAAGCCCGGCCTCTCAGACATGGTCTCCTCCCAAATGTCCCACCTCCACATCCAACCTGCTCTGCCAGTGCGACCAGCCTCAGCATTCCTTCCCAGCCTCTCACAAACACCCCCATCCCCATGATTTCTTCCCTGCTGACCCTTTTGACTGGGGCACCCCCCACAATACAGTCGTCAAGCCCACTTCCTTTCACCTCATCCAAGCCTTTCCTAAGAACCCACCTCTGCCAGGAAGTCTATGGGGAAACAAGGTGGAAGTAACAAACCAAACACAGACTCAGCTTGGATGAGCCATCCAGATGGGTCCACACCTCACTTCCAAACCACCTGATCTTATTATGGACAACCTTGTCCTCCTGTTCACCTCCCATTGTTGCCTTCTTCTGACCCCCTTCCCTGGTGTGTCCACTCCAACACAGATTGCAAACTTGCTGGAGCAGGGATCATTGTCTTTTACTTGTTATGGGGAAGTACCTTGCACATTTGGGACACTTGAAAATAAAATAAAATAAATAATAAATAATAATAATAATAATAATGTTACCCCTCTGTAAAATGAGGAGACATTACAGATCTGCCTATCGGGGTGGGGTGAGGCTAAGCTAATTAGCATTTGTAAAGCACTCAGCTACCAATTGGAAGTTGCGGTACAACTACAATCTTTTACGAGCAAGACTGCATTGGAACAGTGCTACTGCTAGTGTGATTTACTCAGAATGGCGATGAGTTACTGCCATTTCCTACCCTCCTTCTCTCGGGATATATGGCAACGGTAAAGTGTGTTGTCACATTCACATTAGCACATGCTCTTGTGTCTGCAGAATGCTCTCCGCTCCTTTTCTGGCAGCACCGGTGTTGTCCTTTAGCCACTCTGCCTTGGAGTGAGATTACATCAGATCTCACAAGCTGAAGCAGGTTGGACTTGGTCCGTACTTGGAAAGGAAACCTCCAAGGAAAGTCCAAGTGCTGCAGGAGGAGGTACTGGTGATTTAGCCGAGGTTGCTCTTCCCTCTAAAGCCCTGATCCAGTGAAGCACGTAAGCATGTGCTTAGCTTTAAGCATGAGAGTCGTAGCCCCACCCCCTCGAGTCCAAGAATGGAACCAGAATTAATCCAGCTCCCATTGAGTTCAATGGGACAACTCACCTGCTTAAAACTAGGCTCATACCTAAGTAATCTAAACTTCCCGCTGCACTTTCCCTTAGTCACACTATCCCCTTCCCTGTCTCTCAAACGGGGCTGGAGCATTGCAATGCACCGTGAAACAGCTGCCACAATCCGCCGCCATCCCAAGGGACGCAGCCTGCAGAGCACTTAGGGTCCGTGGGGACGAGAAGCACTGTGGGAATGCATGTCTCTGTCTGATTGGGGTGCCTGTTCCCTCTCTCTCTCACCTGTAGCTGCTTTCCAGGATGTGGGGTTCCCTGGGCCTCCTCCTGGTGTCAGCTCTCTTCCCTGTCAGGAGAGCGGCTGCCGAACGCTGCCCACGGATCTGCATCTGCGATAACATAAAGCATCACGTCATGTGTCTGAACAAGAACCTCACAGAGGTGCCCATCACCATCCCACAGGTCAGTCCCTGGGCACAGCGGGGAAAGGGAAGAGTCAGAGGCAAACACAGCACAAAGTGCTCTTAAACTGCTCCCCACTCACTTGCTGCCGCTGCCACCACCACCAAAGCTCCTCACCCCCTGGGGCATCTGGGCACCAGTCTGATCCTCTCTCTCCCTGCACAGCACTGAGCCACACAGGCTGTTGTAGGACAGGGGAGAAGAGGCAGAACGAGATGCAGGCAGGTGTGGTTCACTTCGTGCAGATATCTGGGTTTCTGAAAGATTTGTGCAGTAACCTCACAGCTTTTCAATGCCGTTGATGTGAAAATCTGAAGGCGGGGTTTGATCCATATGCAAGATGAGCTGGTCTGCTCAGGGTCAGCTCTTCTACCGAACAACAACATAAAAATAACTCATCTGATCGAGACAAAAAAACACTTACAATATTTACTGGGCAATACACAGTCAGGTCCCTCCGAGGTGGTGATTGTTACAGGCCTTACGCTAAAGCAGAGTCAGACGGTGAAATAAGGAAACAAGGGAAACCCAGATGGCTGTAGGAAGGTGATGTTGGTGTAGGAGGCACTTTCCCCTCTGAGTCAGCACTGAATTAAGGCTCACTCAGGATGCTAGCGATTGCCGCATTGCAGGAAGCCTGGTTCAGCAGGATGAACGGTCACTATTGAGACCCCGTCACAACTTTCTGCAGCAGACTGGAGGTGCTCTGGGAAGTGTCTCTTCCAAGTACTGACCAGGCATGAGCCAATACTGAGCCTGCTTGTGAGATTTGGCCAGGTCACAGTGATAACGGCTGCAGAGAGGACTGGGACAGCCCGTCACTCTGCTGCAGAGGGGTGGGAAAGGTTGTGGATTCCATCTTCAATAACTGATGCTTGTGTAATCAACAGGTCACCCAAAAACTGGATCTCCGTGGCAACAACATAAAAGTCATCCCTGGAGGAGCTTTCCTCCCTATCCCATACCTCACCCACTTAAACCTGCAGCGATGCAACGTGGAGAGTATTGAGGAAGGGGCTTTTAGGGGACTAGGACGACTGATCTACCTCAACCTGGCTTCCAACAACATAGCCTTCATCTACCAGGAGTCCCTGGATGGGCTGTCTTCTCTTCAGCAGCTCATCCTGGAGAAGAACCGCATAGAAGAGATAAAGCCAGGGGCTTTCAGCCAACTGGGCTTCCTCAACTTCCTCAACCTTGGCGAGAACTTCCTGGTCTACCTGCCTGATATGGTCTTCCAGGGCCTGCAGCTGATCAAGTGGCTCCGCCTGTCCCATAATGCACTTCATGTCATAGCCACGGAGGCCTTTGGTGGGTTGCTGACCCTGAGGAGGTTGAGCCTGGACCACAACGAACTGCAGTCCCTGCCCACAGAGGCCCTGTCGAGGCTGTCGGGTACCACACGGCTGGACCTGGGACACAACCCTGTCACCTACATCGGCGAGGAGGCCATTGAGATGGCTTCACTGAAGCAGCTGTTCTTGGACAACATGGCCCTGCAGGATGTCTCACACAAAGCCTTTGTGAAGAGCCCCCTGCTGCACACAGTCGACCTCCACAACAACCAGCTGCAGGTGCTGCAGCCGCTGACAGAAGCCGCCCACCTGAAGAAAGTCAACTTAACAGGAAACCCCGTGGTTTGCACTTGCTACATGCGGCCCTTCAAGGAGTGGATGGAGAAAGCGAGGGTCCAGGCCGATGTGCCATGTGCAGGCCCTGGCGCCTTCAGAGGTGAGCAGCTGGAGTCGCTGAGGTCCATTGATATGAAGTGTGGGGGCCCTGCCCCGGACGAGAAGCGGCTCCCCAGCCCAGCCACCCCCAGGAGGGAGCCAGAGGGAGATGCTAAGACGAGGTGTCCAAAAGTCTGCGCCTGCTCCCCTGATTTCCAACACAGCAACTGCGAGAACAGAGGCCTCCAGAAGATCCCCAAGGGGTTCCCAGGCAATACCCAGCTCCTGGACCTGCGCCAAAATGAGTTCCACTCCATTCCCAAGGGATCCTTCCCCAGCTTGAAGAAGCTGGTCTCGCTCCATCTGCAAAGCTGCAAGATCACGGAGCTGCAGCCGGGGGCCTTCCAGGGCTTAAAGAAGCTGGTCTACCTCTACCTGTCTAACAACAACATTGCTGCCATAGATGCTGCTGCCTTTGATGGGGCCCCCCAGCTCAGCTACCTGTACCTGGACCGCAATGGGTTCACTCGGATGCCCACGGGGGCCTTCAGCCTCCTGCCCAACCTCTTCTCCCTCCACTTGCAGCATAACTCCATCAGCCAGCTGTCAGACAATGACCTGGCTGGGGCAGGGCAGCTACGCTGGGTCTACCTAAGCGGGAATCGCATCACTCGTGTGTCCCCCAGGGCCCTGAGCCCTGCCAAGATGCTAGAGAAGCTGCACCTGGATGAGAACCTATTGCAGGAAGTGCCCACCGGGTCCCTCCGGGGTTTGCCTGTCCTTAGTGAGCTGAAGCTGTCCAAGAATCCCATCAAGTCTATTGGGGATGGAGCTTTCCTCCCTGTAGCCAGGTCCCTGCTGCACCTGTATCTGGATAATATGGGGCTAGAACAGGTGAGAGGGAGGGAGGGAGAAGGGTGAGTGCCCCAGTCTGATAAAGCTAAATCCTACTATACAAGTTACTGTTTGGTCACCTCTCCTCCCTGCTCCCACTGCAGGGCGCTTCCCTGCAGCACGTTCCAATGTTTCTTCTGGATGAAATGAAGGGGCTTCCAACCCAAAGCAATGGCCCCAACACTGGCACTTGCACCACTTCCCTTGGGAGATGATTGCTCAGCCTGAGACCTCACTTGGAAGAAAAGCTTCCCGATATTTAGCCTGAATTGCACCTTTGTTCAGTTTTATCCTGTTACTCCTAGTGTTTATGCCCCCTCGGCCTGCCCCAACAGTCCCTCTCTCCCCCTCCTTGGCAATTGCACCTTTCACAGGTGCCAGATCCTCCCCATGTCATAGCCCAGCCAGGTTACAGGCTCTTCGTTCCTTTCATCTGTCCTCATTAAGGGCTTGATCCAAAGCCAAGGATAGTCAATAGAAAGATTCCTGTTTCTTTCAATGGGCTGTAGACCCTGCCCTAAGCTCCTCCCCCCAGGGTCCTAATAATTGATATTTCTCTTTCCTCCAATTTGTCAATAATTCTTCTTGTCCTGTGAAGACCTATTCCAAGGGATTCCCCTCTGCTACTCACCTGTTTCTCTCTCCTCTCAAGCACCCCAAATTGCCACTATCCTCCTGCCAGCCAAGGCTCCTTTCAGGCTCAACAAGGCCACATCCAGGGCCTCCCACGCTGCTTTCACAGCATCTCCCAGCCCTGGGGAAGGAGAGCGCCAAACTTGGGTCCAGGGAGATTGCCTGGCCATTCAACCACCCTGATCGGTTTTACTCTCAAAACCCAGAATGAGGCCACCACAGAGCCCAGCGTTTCTCCTGCTTGCAGAGAAGTGGAACATGTCCCTGCCAAATTCTTCTTTCCCTTTCAAAGGAAATTTGAGTACATTCTGAGGTCCCAATAATGCAACCCAAACTGGTTATGTAAATTAAAGGGGTCTTGTTAGCTTTTCATAGCATGAAACCCTTGTTCAGCTACTTGTAACCGAATCTTTCCTCACATGTGACCCCAGAATCCTCAGTGCTGGTTTTCACAGCCCCTCAAAGGAAGTGCCGCAGGAATGGTGGTTATTGAGGTGCTCCTGGAATCTAGAGACCATCCTGAGCATGCGGGACTGAACCAAACCTGAAAACCAGAGGGGGGAAAGCGGAGTGGGCTTTTCCCTTTGTGACTGTCACAGCAACTGACAATCTCTGCCACTGAGATTAAATTAAAAAGGGGAATCGGATCCACAAAGTCTTGCAAGTAGAAAGCACGTACTCTACGGCGCTGACCCAACTAAGCACTTAAACACAAGTAGCGACCTTGAAAATGACACTGCTCATATACTTAAAGTTAAGCACATGCTTACATGCTTAGCTGGACTGGGGCCTGTTTAAACTGAGATAAAAAATAAGATGACAATCAGCTACCCAGGGACTGAAAAAGCCACTACAATCTGCTCAGTTCAGTGCCTTGCCATTAGTTAAAGGAAAACCTGAGGCAAAGTGAAAAGCTATACTAAGCGTAACACACCCCGTTGCCAAAAAGAACAAAATATCAAATTGAAAAGGGTGTTAAATATAGCTACTAAGAATCACACACACATGTATATAACACCGTACATTTACCCTGCACTTTCAAACACAGAACAGGTGAAATTCCCTGCTACAAAGAGTTTACAATCCAGAAAATAATGCAAAATGAAATAGGACAGTGACAACTTGAGTCTGATGCAGGTTAAGAGACACAAAGTGCAATATTTCAATATGTCAAGCAAGTAGAGGCTTTCAGAGCTATTTAAGGGAATTAATATTTAGCACTAAATATTAAGTACCACAATTACATTAACCAATAAAGACAGAGAACTCACTTTACTGAAAGTCTCTGCTTCTCTCACAATAAGCTCCTGCACTTCCTTTGTCTCAAATTATGTCATCAAACTGACCTGCATGCTGGGAAGTATTGATACCAAGTGACAGTAACACAAGCCCCATTCACAGTGGAGACAGGAACCAATGAGAGCTATTTCTCTCTCTCTCACACACACACACAATCAGAAAGTGCATGCAGATATCTAACTCCCTATTAAAATCATCCACAGCTGTTTTCCTTTGACTCATCAGCCCCATCTCACCATTTGCAGCTTTCCTCAAGGGCCTTTGCTGGTCTGGGTCCCAGGATGAAGAGTCTGTACCTGGACAACAACAACATGTATAACGTGCCTGACTTGCGCAGCTTCACAGGGCTGGAGGTCATCAACCTGAGAGACATCCCCTTCCACTGCGACTGCCAACTCCTCCCACTGCGCAGGTGAGTCACTGCTTAGGT